GAAAAATAAATCTGTTCTTTTTTTCTCATAAAAGGCTAAATAAAACAAAAATATTGGTGGTAAATTTTGAATGTAACTTTACAAACGGCACCTCATAAATGACAAACATTCTCTGCTACGTTCAGCTGTGATACCAGAGCTTTGTTTGGAGGGAGCTTTCAGCTAAAGCTCAGATAATGACAGAAGCTGTGGGAAGACTGGAAGTGGCACTGGGTGAGGGGCAAAGTTTGGCCCTGCTTCGGCCCGATAATCACCGTGCATCACAGAGAACGCTGTGATGCCAGTTTCTGCCACAGGAGCTCAAATAATAGCCCGTGTCCCTCACTGGCAGAGCTGCATTTCATAACCGCGGCAGATTAGATGCTGACAGGGTGCCGTGAGAAAAACCTAACCTCCAATACAAGCTCGGTCGGTCGGTGCGCACAGAGCAGGGAGGAGAAAATGTAGAAGCAAAGCTCAAAGGAAGGAGAACAGATGAGAGGAAGGGGGAGGGAACAACAGCAGAGAGGAGGATTGTAAGTAATGACAGTGTTGGAGGATGAGGATGCCAGAAGAAAGAAGTTAATCCGTGGGGTTTTTTCCCCCCCATCTATCACCAGAGCATTCCTTCGCCCCTCTCTGTTTACACCCCTCCCATCCTCATGAGCATCGTCCCTCTGCAGGAAAAGCCTAATCAGCTGCTGACACCAGATCGATGGTGTTGTCCCGTCCAGCTGCGGCTAACGGAGCACTGTTCTCGCTCGTTATCTCCAAAACAACATATTCCAGACACGGACACGTTCCATCCTCAGCTTCAGGAGCAACACTGGAATTAGCAGCGGCTAATAACTCTGGCTCACATCCAGCCTGTTTGCAGCTATTATCAAAAAGTGTGACAGCAGCAGCGAGCACCTCTGTGTCCAGAAATATAGAAGCTTCTCTTTTTCTGGTGTTTTAGTAAGAATTACTTTTGTTATTTGAAGTTTTTGAAATTCTATGATTTGGTTTATAGTTTTTTTCAGTTATGTATAGAGCTCACAACAATATATTGCGTTTAAACATCCAAATAAATTTTGTTAAAGGAGTTGTTACAATGTTAAGGGGGTTTGTGAAACCTGAATTTTGAACCAGTTTGAAGGAGCGGTGTTCAATCTAAGGAATAATGTTATGGAATAATCCGGAGAGCGATGCCAGATCAATGTTTATGTTTAAGAGAATGATAAAGCTTGGTTTGTTTGAATTAATTTTTTAGAAAAAAAAAGGGGCAGATACAGTATTATAACATTCTTTCTTCTTTCTGCTGCATTTCATTTTATTTGTGATTTGTATTTTTCATTGTATATAGAATTTATTTTTTTTTCAAATGAATAAACTTCTGAAATGAATAAAAAAATCACTGATTGGCTACAATATATTGTGTTCTGCAATTTTTATATGATAAGGAACTCAAGCATAATCCACTTGGGGAAAATTTAAACTAATAATGGCATAAGTTTGTTTTTACAAATATCAAAGTATAACAAAGTCTGTGTACTCAAATTTYAGAATGACATATTGCGGTTTTTACGACATGTATCAGGAGTAAAGTAAAGTAAAATATATTTTACATTTAATTGAACAGATTGTAATGAGAACCTTTAAGTGCACATCGCTGAAGCAGATGTTTCTGAGTGGTACTTGTTGTCATATGGCCCAAGTGTGTGTGTGGGCACATTTTTGCTACATCGTAGGAACTATTTTCCAGAAAAAGGCAGCCCAGTGGGGACCGAATATGCATACAGGTGCTAAACTGGTGTGTAGGGTTGGATTTAGGACCAAGGTACCTGTGAGGTTAATTTCAGGGTAAATGTTCAGGGTTAGGCTGTAAAATTATCAAAAAAATTAATGAAAGTCAATCCACGGTGGTCCCCAGAGGGATATAAAAACAAACGTGTGTGTGTGTGTCTGTAATTCCATGCTTCCGTGTTAATCTGGACACCACGATATTTTAAATGTAGGGCAATGCTCCTGGCTGGAAGTGACCTTCTCAGCCTTAAAAAGGTTGAGGTTAAAGATGAGAGGAATCAAGGCCGTGCAGGAAAAGAAGAAATTCTGAGGAAATATGAAGTCATTTAGTATAAACCTGAAGAAGTTTGTACACAACTTTGTTATTTTAGTTTCTTTGAAAGTTTTGCTGTTGCTGAGAATAAAAAAATTAGTTTATTTAATAGTTCTGCTCAACCAGAGGATTTTACGTGTTCTTGCTGGTGCTGYTGTAATATTTGAAAGTTTATTATTGAAGCCTTACCTTCACATTTTTCCAAAATCTGGACCGTCTCTCCRACCTCCAGAGCCAAGCCCTGACTCACCGAGCCTCGGAAGTTGCAGACGACTGAAAAAGAACGAAACAGAAGGAAAAAGGGGAACCTTAGATRAAAGCTAACAAGTAAAAATCACAGTAAGCTGAGCATCGTGACAAATACAGAGGCGACAAGCTGGAGGATTTCCATATCACATTCACTTTTATTTGTTTTAAAATATTCAAAGGGAGTTTAATTTTTCAGCATGTGCCGACTCCACAACCCCCACCCCCCTCAGCGGTCACGTCCTGCTCGTCTAATGACAGCAGCGTGACGTGAACATCCCAGGCTGAGTGAAAACATTCAGACAGCACCGTACCAGGCGCTGATGTTAATATTCCTCCTGACCGCACGGATGCACCCAGAGAACAACAGATGTCGGAGCTTATTGCGGCGCTGATGTCGCTGTAAGTCACTCTKTCCAAAGCTGAAAGTATTAAATCTCACCTCGGGCTAGATTCGTTTATTAAACCACTCGACTCAACCGCTTGGCCTTTTCTGCCCSACAAACATCTCCTCCTGCTCGTGTCTTTCAGACGCTGACACCAGGAGTCATCGAGTCATGACTCGAATCATGTCGGATTTACTGAAAACTCTGCGTTCAGTCGTTGTCATGGTCCGTCAGCGGTAAAAATAACGCTTTTTTTAAATAGAAGTTAGGTTTTAATTAAACACTGTTTGGATAGAGGACCTTCACCATAATGTTTACAATAATTAGCAATTCATTAAGATTACAGGACTGTGAAAGTTTTCATGGCAATAAGAGGTCATTTTATATTTCAAAGGTCACATACCCATGTCAGATATTTAAGGTTGCATAAACAATTTAAACTATTTTAATGATAAAAGCAGCATCCAAACAGAGGTGTCAAAAGTATTCACATTCAAGTAGATGTATAGAGAGTAGGGTTTAAAAATACTTTTTTTTTTTGGAAGTAGAAGTATCAACTCAAGCTTTTTACTCAAGTAAAATGATGAAAGCTTAGGCTGTGCCACAGGGTTCTATAGTGTACAACCCCCACCCTACCCCTCCAATTTTTCTTCTAAAGTCAGTAATCAGTATAATGTTAAATTATATATTAATGTTGAAAACTTTTGAATTACTAGACTAGTTGTTTCAGCCACGATCATCTTCATTCTAGGCTTCATCTGCTACAGTCTGTCCTGCTGGAATGTGATGTGATTTGTGTCATACAGGTGTGTTGGAGTGTGTTTAATCCAACAGGATATCAGAATGGTTTATATTTACTTTTCTCATTCAACCACAATCAAACTCACTCTATCCAAGGGCTCCATGTATCTGGATAGATTTTTATTTATTATTTTTTTTCTGAACAATGAAAAGGTAGAATAAAAACAAGTCAAAGTTAAATAGAAATGAAATACTTTTAGTATTTTTAAAAAGTAAGGAGTAGAAAGTACAGATA